GTCCAAGCCCAAGTGCTCGAAGTGGTCCTGCTCCGCCGCCTCCTATGCTAAAGCCCCAGCGCATGCGCGGCGCCGCTCGGTCAGCCGCGAAGTTCAGCGCCAAGGGCTCCACTCCCACTGCCGTGGATAGTTGGAGATCCCAACGCCGAACTCCGTGGCCGATCAAGTGGCGCAACGCGTTTGCACTGGCGCCCTCCGATCCTCATCCTGCCGCGCCGCCTCGGAGCCAGCCCCCTGCGCCAGCCCCTCGCCCAGCTGCGCCGCCTCCTCGCCCTGCTCTCCGCCAGCGCCGGCGGCGCTGCCAGAAGCCGACGGGCTGCGCCCCCCGCGGCCGCCGCCGCCGCGCCCGCCGCGCATGCCATGGGCAGCGCCTGCAGTTGGCATCTGCTCGTCGAAGGGGGCCCCTTGTCACCAGCTTGGCGATCGCGGACTTGCGCTTCTGACCGCGCTCCCGCGACGGCGCAGGCCACGAACGCTCAGGCACAAAGATATTGCTGATGAACTTCTTGCCATCGACCCGAGGCCACATCAAGCTGCGGTCGAACCCATCGAACGCGATATACTCGAAACTACACAGCGAAGCGCTCCGCAAAACCCCGACAATCTTCAGAATAAACTCGTCCGAGGTCTGGCAATCCAAGACTTCAAACTGATCCGAAATCATGCAAGTCCTCGTAGCGATCCCCACGAAACACTAACACCTCAACTCAGGCGCCGCGAAGAGATCCACATCATCCTCGTGATAGTTGCAGTTTATAACGTCGAAGATCTTTGGATTGTAGCACGTGCCAGTGATGAAGGCAAAGAAGCGCTGCTTGGATACTGGCTCGGTCAAAGTGTCGCCCTCTATCATGATGAGCTTGGTGCCGTCGTCGGCCTTCTTCTTACCCAGATTGCTGATATGAGAGAATATGTGCTTCTCCACGCGCTCGAACTTGACCACGTCGCCAACGCCGTCCTTGCTGACGTTCCGAGCTAGCCGCCCGACGCCCCAAAACTCGTAGTCCTCCCACTTATCAAAATCCACAGTCTCGTCAGGCTTGAAAATGTGGTTGGAGGCACCGCCATCGCAGATGACGCCGTCGCTCGGCCAGCCATGCTGAACGACGTGGCGGTGGAACTCCTGCTTGCTGATGGGCGTGGCCTGACAACCACAATTCCAGGATGCAACATACGGCTTAACTTGACCACTCTGCTTGCCAAGATCGTCTGGGGGGTCATCCCTCCACTCGTCGTAGACGCTGCGATCCACGTCGTGGCCACCATCGCGCTCCCCGCGCTCAACCCAGTCTGCCCTGAACCCCCCCTTGGCGGATGCGAGCTCTTCGCAAGTCAGCGTTCTACCTTTTGCGAGCTTGGCCGCCTGCAAGTGCTTGTTCCGAGCGGGCGTGAAAGGGTTCAGGCCGACGCGCCGTCGAGGGTGGCCCGCGGCGTCCGCGCTCGACCTGGCCGCCTGCCCAGCGGGCGCTGCAGGCAGAGCCGCACTGGGCCGCTGCACAACCAGGGGCGCCATGAAAACTTCGTTCTCGCGAGAAGTAGGACGCGAAGCTGGCGCCGACGAAGAACTCGGCGCATCTGACGCGCCCCCCAGCGCGAGCAGCTCGCTTGAAGACACACCCTGCCTGGCGAACAGCACGGGGCCGCTGTTGCCGCCGCCCTCGCAGATGAACGGCGCCAGCTCCACCGACTCCTCGGCGGGCAAGTTGGCCTGGGAGCTCGGCGACAACGGGTGCAAGCCATTCCGATCCAGGTGAACGCGGAGTGCCTCGCGCACAATCTGCTCACGCGCCACGTGTACCGAGCTCCTCCCTCGGGCCCTCTTCCGTTGGTAGGCCGCCAGCTCCGAGTTCGTGCGCTCGATGTTCGCAATGTCGTGGGGGTGGTTCTTGAAGTCGGCTGCCGAGATGGATCTGCGTCGGGGGCCCGGCAGCTCGGGCACCGTGTCGACTTGGGAGCGGATGCCGAAGTTGTAGATGTCAAGCTGCTTCCCCGGCGCGTCCAAGAGGCTCTGGGCGACGCGCTGCTTCTCGTCATCGGCAGCCCCGCTGTCGATCATTTTGTACATTTTGTACGGCCACGTAGAGTACTTCACCTCATATCGTCTGAACGTCGACGTCGCCAGCCGCAGCATTGCCCCCCTCGATGGTTTCATGAAGCCATCATCTGTCAAAGGAGCACCGACGACATCAAGCATTGACCGCGGCATTCGGGCAGGGCTGTCCTGTGACCAACACGGCCCTAGCAGCCGCTTGAACTCGAACAAACACGCGCCGATGCGCGTGCCATGCCGATCTAATAAGATGTCTGTCTTAGAGAACTTCGACTGGCGCTCTGTCAAGTCCACGGCAGCGCTGTCACCCAATACTGGATACAGAAGGTGGTAATCGAACACCGTGGTCACGATCGTTAACACTGCGAGGTCCCAGAACGTCGAGTCGTCATCGTAGTACTTCCTCACCGTCCTGACGCGCGCGCCCTGGGCGAGCTGCATGAAACCCATCAGCCATGTAGGCTTGTCAGCTTGAGTTGTTGAACACATCCTCCCTGCTCGACCTTCTTCTTCCCATTCGGTGAGGGGTTGGTCCCTCTCTCCCCCCAATGGGCCTCGAGGGGGGAGGGGTTGTTTAGTAGGGTGTCGGGGCCACCTCGGGCCACTCTTGCGAGTTGTGTTGCCTGGCACCTCTCACGCGGATCGCAACCCCCACAGGGGCGCGGGGTGGGGTGGTGGTGGTGGTGGTGGTGGTGGTGGTGGTGGTGGTGGTGGTGGCGGTGGTGGCGGTGGTGGTGGTGGTTGGTGGTGGTGGTGGTGGTGGTGGTGGTTGTGTGTGTGTGTGTGCGTGCGTGCGTGTGTGTGTGTGTGTGTGTGTGTGTGTGTGTGTGTGTGTGTGTGTGTGTGTGTGTGTGTGTGGTGTGTGTGTGTGTGTGTGTGTGTGTGTGTGTGTGTGTGTGTGTGTGTGTGTGTGTGTGTGTGTGTGTGTGTGCGTGTGTGTGTGTGTGTGTGTGTGTGTGTGTGTGTGTGTGTGTGTGTGTGTGTGTGTGTGTGTGTGTGTGTGTGTGTGTGTGTGTGTGTGTGTGTGTGTGTGTGTGTGTGTGTGTGTGTGTGTGTGTGTGTGTGTGTGTGTGTGTGTGTGTGTGTGTGTGTGTGTGTGTGTGTGTGTGTGTGTGTGTGTGTGTGTGTGTGTGTGTGTGTGTGTGTGTGTGTGTGTGTGTGTGTGTGTGTGTGTGTGTGTGTGTGTGTGTGTGTGTGTGTGTGTGTGTGTGTGTGTGTGTGGGGGGGGGGTCGACTCCGCCAGCTCCCCAAGACGCTCCAAGACGCGCCAAGGCGCTCTAGAACGCAGCCCAAGAGCGTCGCGCGAGCTTCTCGACAAAGCTCGCGCGAAGGCCTTGGGGGTGCGTTCTGAAGCCTCCGAAGGGGCCAGGAGGAGAGGGAGGAGGAGCAAGCAAGAGGAGGGGGAGCAGGGCGGGGCAGGGAGGAAGTAAGAAGCAAGCGAAGAGGAGAAGGCGGAGACAACGCCCGATGGTTGGCGCTGCGGGGATCGGCGGGGATCTGCACAGCGTGATCGATTCGAGGCCGCCTCGCCCGAGCTGATGTCAACGTGGGTCTCGTCGACGTCCGAGGGCGCCAGGGTAAAACTGTCGACGCCGAGCCTGTGCAAACACCTTCGGTACAATGTGCGACGAAAGTTTGGAATGACATGCGTCCACGTGCTCTCTCCAGGTATCGGATCAGCTGCGCCAATCATTGAATCCACTGTTGCACGCAAAGCCTTGTCCACAGCGACGACGTGACTAGAACAACATGGAGATTGCGACTCAGGATCCCAACAATGATGAATCATATTGACGTTCAGATCGCCATTGAACATGTCGGTTGCGTGCTGCAAGTCCACGTGCTGCTGAGAGAATTTCCCATTCTTACGCCGATATGCGGACGAGCTCATTGCAAACAACACCTCGCAAACAGTGTGCAAAGTCAGGCATGAAGTTGCATCGGGAGGTGGCCCGACAACCCGACGTAGCTTGCGTAGAGCCTTCTCAAGGTAAGTGGTCATATTGATGTAAGTACCCTGCAAACGGTCGAGTTTCGAAATACAATACTGGATCATCGTGTGTGCCTTCAACGCTTTCAACTGGATATTCGTCCGATGGTGCGCACGCACATTACACGTTTCTACGAAGAAGAACAAGCATTGCGTCTCGGGCTTCTCGAGATACACAATATCATAGATCCAGCACAGCCTCTTAAGAAACAGCGTGTTCCAATTCCACACATCGGCATGACCGCCATGAAACTTACTGTCTTCAGGAACGCTGAAAAGGCTTCGAAATCGTCGTACGAGTGCAGATCAGAGGTGCTATCCAAGATGGCTGGCTGCAGCGCGTTTGCCGAAGTTCCCTCAACAACCCGAGCTCTGTGAATGAACTGCTCTTGCCAGTGGTGCTCACGCTCGCCATCTTTCAACATGATCGAATACACACCCCTTTGGACCAACGTCTGATGATGAACAGCTTTGGCACGTTTGCGAGCGTTCCTGAACGACGAGGCCGAGCGAAAATGCAGCTGTACTTCATCCCACATGTGCGCATGACTTAGATGAATCATCTTGCCATCACCAGCTGACTCAGCCGACCTCAAACACAACTCCGAACGACGAGAAATATCATATAGCCCATCCGCCTGCCGCTGCTCAATGATACTGCACGCCACCTCAATAACTCAAACTGCCTTGACCCCGAGAGACGGGCACTGATTCAAAGGGAGGTGGACCCCTCGAACAATCAGCGCGAAGTCGTCTGGGCGCAACCTGTCCAGCTTCCGCCGCCCAACCGCAGCGACCTTCTCGAGGCCGATCAGCTTGGCGGCGCCAGGCAGCATCACGGCCACCTGCTCGATCGTGCTCCTCAGCGCGTCGCGCTCGTCTCGAGCCTGGTCCCGCTGGGCTTCCAAGCGCCCCGCGCCCCTCGCAGTGCGAGCTCGGAGGGCCCGCGCCTGGCAGGCGGCCAAGCCGCCAGCGGCGACTGGCGCAGCCGCGGCCGCGATGGCGGGCCGAGCAGCGGCAGCTGGCTGGCAAGCTGCGGCCGCCACCAGCGCGGCGCCGTCCAGCTCGATCTGCAGCCCCGCAGATGCAGCGAGCTCCCGTGGCGCCGCAGCGGCGGCCGAGGGACTCGAGGCGGGCAGCCTCAGGCCTCAGGTCCTCGAGGTCAACCTGGTCGACCTGGCCCATGCCAAAATGGCTGGAGCCTAACAGGCTGCGGGCCCACTCGACGATGACAAAGTCAAACGGGGGGCATGGTCGAATAGGGGGGCGAGGTCAAACGGGGTCGGCTCGACTAGGGCGACCCCTCACACAGATCGCGCAACAATCGCGGCGGCGCCCTCGTGCCCCCCACTCTCTTCCGCAACCGCTATTCCTCTTCAAGCTGGGGATTCGACACCTCATGAAAACATAACGCGGGGCGATGTAAAGATCCTGGCAACGCTACGACGAGGAATCTGACTACAAGGTCTGGATCGTGAAAGGCGTAAACTACATGATATCACATAACATCATGGCGAAGCGTCAGACACCAGAAAAAAGAGGCGAACGAAAACGGAGGCCTTTTGACGCGACCCCCCACCCCATAGATAGCGTTGCTTGTTCGCAAGATGTCTCGAGATTGGGGCCGACACGTCGCAAGCCATGGTCCGGTACCCACAGGCGTGGGTTCAAAGCGGGATCGGTATTTCTCTCGTGCTTTCTCTCCCGCCCTCCTGCGTCCCACCCCCGTCGTCTTCGCCTTTCCTCACGCAGCATCCTCTTTCTTGCCCGCTTACACAACGAGCCTTGCATCCTCCTCTTTTCGTTTCCCCCGTATCATCCGTCACCGTCTTCCCTCCTGTTGTTTGTTCTCGTTCTCCCATCCTCCTCCCTGGCCCCTTTTTCTCTACTGTTTCATTGTCTATGTTCGCTACACATGTTTTTCGAATGTTGAAGCGCTTGGTGTCCTACAGCATGGATGTTTCTTGATGTGCAGATGGGGATTGAATGACCCCCCTGATTGAAACGTCTCCGCAAACGACAGGCTGTTCATGCGTTACAAATTATATGGTATATACTGTCAATGATGATGGTTGTACCACCCGTTGGGGCGAGACGCGATTCATCTATCAATACCCCCGCTCTTAGCGGGGCCGCGCGCATGCATATTGCCCTCTGCATTGCACATCGGGCGCAAAGCTTTTCTTTGGTCCTACATGGTTTTAACGGGGGTCGTGTTGACGGACCAAGTGGTAGAACCGAGTTGACGGACCCCTGGGTGGCCCAAAGATAGAGGAAGCCCATCTCTGACCCCCAGCGACACCCAAACGAAGGGTGCGCGTCTCTTCACCCCACGCCCTTTGCCCCCCCCCCCCAACCCCCACCCTGTTGATGAGCACCTGAAGGAGCCCGGAGATCGAGGAGAAACGCTCGAGCCTGAACGCCACACCTCGTCGGAGATCTGGGAGCCCGGGCGTGTGGCCCAGCAGTCAAGCAGTGGCGAAGCGTCCTGGCTCGCCTATCGCCCACCAAACCATGTTCTAAGAACCTTTTCTGGTTTCCACGAAATGTTCTTAGAACATTTCTGGCGGAGTCTGTCTTGCTTTAACACATCGGGTTAATGTTCTAATGACTTGTTTTTGTTTTTAGAAAACATGTTTGGGTTCTAAAAACATTCCGTGGTAGGACTATAGAAATTCCGGGACGGTCGGTCCCTGCTCAAAGCAGGGATTTGGACGCGTGCTGCGCCCGTCTGCCCCCGGGGGCACGCCCGCGGGGCGTCGAGGGTCAGCCACGCGCGCCGCACAGACCGGGCCCAGGGATGCCGACGCTTGCGCGCCCAAAAGCGCGACCGCAGCGCCCCGTCGTCGTCGTCGTCGTCGTCGTCGTCGTCGTCGTCGTCGTCGTCGTCGTCGTCGTCGTCGTGGTGGAGGCCGCGCCCCATCTCCTGCTTCTGCTGCTGGTGCTGCTGCTCCTCCTCCTCCTCCTCCTCTTCTTCCTACTCCTCCTTCTCCTTCTCCTCTTCCTCCTCCTCCTCCTCCTCCTCCTCCTCCTCCTGTTAAAACTAATGAAGGTTGAATCGGCCTGCAGGGGACTCAACGGGCAGAGAATAGAATATAATCCTCCTCCTCCTCCTCCTCCTCCTCCTCCTCCTTCTCCTCCTCTCCTCCTCCTCCTTCTCGTCCGTCTCCTCCTCCTCCTGCTCCTCCTCCTGCTCCTCCTCCTCTTCCTCCTCCTCCTCCTCCGCCTTCTCCTCCTCCTCCTCCTCCTCCCTGCCAGGACCCTCCAGAACCTTCTAGAGCCCTGAACGTCTCCCTCCCAACGCTTTCCAGCCGAAAGCAATCTGCCGTCTTCACATCCTCCACACCATTCTCCTTCACTTCATTATCACACACACACATATATATCATCATCATCATCATCATCATCATCATCATCATCATCATCATCATCATCATCATCATCATCATCATCATCATCA